TCACCATTTTCATCTATGCACTCAGAAGTAACAACTTCAGTCACCTTTTCAGTTTCATTTCCTTTACAATATACCAAGTCTCCCAACACAACTCGGTCAGTTCCTGCCAGATTGTGGAATAAAATTGGGTTTTACATAAGTATATGATACAAAGATAGTTGCAATAAAGCTTTGACAACTGTAATAATAATGATGGTGACGCAATCAGTCCACGAAAAGAATAAATGAATTGGTTTTGCTCCAATAAATAACTGGGGGCCTACCATATTTCTTCACTCTCATACTTGCCGCATTGTTCCACAAATAGCTTTGGTAACTATGCACATACCTGAAAAAAGGGCGATGAGTATACACCAGAAAGTGGTGAAACCATCACATGATATAATACAAATATTTCCCCGTATATACTATATTATATATACAGCATATATGTTCAACTGTACCTAGATTAAGCTCGTATTGATTGACTTGAACACAGAAAAAGCATAAACATTAACTGAAGATTGACTCCGTTTACGAAGTTAGAAAACAGAACAAATTCTGCTGGAAAATCTCTTACATCATCCTCAAAGTTCTAGGAATAGCTTTCAAGGCCTGCAAGTAGTTTCCGGGGCATTTCTTCAGACACTGCAACTGTATGAGAACAAAAAAGAGGAAAAAGTAACGATCATCCATGAACCACAAGAGGAAGTAATCCAATTTAGTAATATCATACAAATATTATGATTGCCATGCCAGATGCATGAAAATCACGTAAAGGATGCACAATGCTAGACAGGGAAGGATTACTCTAATAAACAAAAGGATTTAAATGTAGAACTTAATATTTCGGGATAGTTTACAGAATCAAGAAAAAACTAGCATGTTCCAACAAAGCAGTCGTAGTTGGTGACTTGGTGACTTACTATAGCTCTTTCAGAAACCAGATGTCGAGGTAATTTCCTCAGGGTCCCTTCAATGTCATTAGTTTCCTTATAGTATTCTCGTGCCTCTGTAATCACATTCCTTTGTAATCGAAGATCAAGTTAAAGAAAACAAATACCAACAGAACACTATAGCAGCATATACTAAACAGTTTAGCAAGAAGTAGTAAAGTATAGAAATGAACAGAAAAGTATCCTCACAACACCTACAAACACAAAAAGGATATCCCCTTCTCTTGGATCAAGGAACATGCTTACGGTAGATTTCCACTCTCCTCTGAGTAGGGAAGCTCCAATACGGTGAGTTGGCACAGAACCGCTTCCAAATCGCTGAATTCATTACCATGCATGCTATAAGCATCTTACTAACCACAACAAAATGTAATCTACATGCCTTAAGAATTTAAAATTCTCACCACTAACATATAGATGGTCTAAAAAACATTTTAAGACAACTTATGAGAAACATACAGCACACATAACGACTTGAAAAGGTGTTTTCAAATATTCTAAAAGTAGAATATACTTGGGGTAAAAAATGTCACATAGCTTTAGATACAAAAGAGAAAATATCCACTTGTCCAAACAATAACGAACAAAACACCTACATATCAATAACATTATTGCAAATAAGGAGTCTAAACCAGGACAAGATATACTCAGAGAGAGAGAGAGTACTTGTAAACCAAAGTAGTTAATAAATCCCTGCTTTCCCAAGGCACTTGCGGAGGCTTTGATGGTATCTTCAGAATCTGCAACAACTCCTCTGAGAAGTAATGTGAGTGCACACAACAAGCAAATCAGATGGTGAATAATAGAGGTTGCCATGAGAGATGTTTCATTCAAGTGCACATAAATGATTACAGGGAACATGCTTACCTCAATGTAATTGTAAACCGATTTCCCAAGAGTTGGCCAAGGACAAGTCCTTCTGTCACATAACTGGATAAATGGAACTATCACATTAGTATGCATTAAAACCCAATTGACCGGGAATCCTATCATTCACAATTCATCAGCCTTACCAGAAGTCACCTACTTTGATACCGATCAACCTATCATTAAGAGCAGCTAATTTACTTGCAAGCTTCTTAAAAACGGTTACCTGGAAACACAATAAGAAAATGAAGTTCAATAACCCTTTGGGTGACCACTATGCTCCTACTAGAAAAACTGGCACTTGAGGATTCATGGAAGTAGACATACATTGGAAGGGAGTTACTATGAGCCTAATAACTAAAGGAAATTCAACCTATAGAATATTGGTCAGAATAAGCAGAAAGATTAGTGAGCATCAATTACCCTCTGAGTTGTGACAGCACGCTTATCCTTTGTACCCGCAAACCCAAAGGACCTTGGCTATGGATAAAAACAATATTAATCTATCAAAAGAAAGATAAGTAATATGAAATCTATACATTAACTCAAAGATGATAAAAAAGAACTATAAATTTCTACATATCTGACCAATCTCAACTGTTTACATGGAAACCAATAATCCAAGTTTTGCTCTCTGTCATGTGGTGAAAATTAAGTACAGAACTAACTAAAAACAACTATATTTCCTCACCACTACAGTACTGCACAGGTAATTGCTAAATATTCAATGAAGACCACAGAAAACTTTGATTTAATAACATCGGTAGGGACAAAGGTGCTGCAAATGGACCTTAATCAAAGACAACAATAGATTACTAAAATACACACTTAATATTGAATGTGTTAACTGTGTCCATGCATACAGGAAGGAAGCAGATAGCAACGACTGACTCTATAATGAGTTCCATATCAAAACCCTCGTATCATTTTCAAAAAAGGAGCAACAAAAGCCCACTAATTACCATGTAAATAGATCAGGCAGTGGAGATGTTCACTTGCCAAACATTGTGAAAACAGTAGTCATGACTCATATGTCAAATGGTGTTCAAGTCAACTAATTCTCAGCTGGAACCCATACCTGGACACCAAGCATTTTTCCTATAACTCCTAAGGCTTCCTGTGTATCCTTGTTCTCCTTGTAAAGATGAAACCTGCACATTCACATTAAAAGAACCTTTCAGATAAGCTGACACAGAGCTTTAACAAACAGAGCATATAAACCTTTGCGAGCCCAATAAGAAAAACACATCAGGTTATTATTTGCATACAAGCTGGCATGGGAAGATGAAAGCAAGTTAACAACCGGATTAGTAAATGCATAATTCACTGCTAGCAAATTGCTCTCATCATTCATTGTTGCACTTCAGGCAGAACAGTTTCAAAGGAATAAAGGAGAACGATGTAGATTAATTGATAAGTTAGAAGGTTTAGATATGAATAAATCAGACAGCTCTGCTGTGCCAATTACACCAAATCTCAATAGAGATATCTAGACTATGCAGGTACCCTTCTACCATAATAAGTGAAGAGATTAAATCTTTAAAAGAGAAGAACCACACAAAAAAACCCTTTACCTAAGGAACTTGCCAACGTGCTCCGACCAATCCTCTGAACCCCTGCTATCGAAAGGTTTATCACCTCTTTCTTTTCTTTTTCTGGAATTTCTGCCTCTGTTGCTCTGTCCTCCTGAATTTATTCTCACCCGGATGCATTTTGATGAAGCATCCGGTCCATCAACTGTGTCGGTGACAAGGAACTTGAAGTGCTGCTTAAAAAAATTGTGCACTGCCTGGAAGACAGATAGTGCAAGCCACAAATGAAACCGAGAAAGAGAACTGGGTTTCATTTACTCATTTTGAAATATGGTGGTAAAGGAGGGTTATGCATATTAAGTTTGGAAGATTATTTGTACTTCTTTCTCACATTAGCGGAAATCAACTCCGTTCCACCCTGACCTCTCTGATTGCACAAGCTTCATGTCTACATTGCCATGCAAAACACTATCTAAATTAAAATAATCAGATAAGACCGAAAAACTAACCGTTCGATGAGATTTATCATAATCTGGGGAAAGAACAATAGGCATAACACCATCATCACTACTGGAATTAATTTGGTTGATAAGAGTTTCCAAGCGCTCAGCATCATTAGGATCAGCAAGAGCTCTAAACGATTCAATTTCGGTAGTATAATCTTTACTTGCACCATCACTTGTCGTTGTTCCACTTTCCTTAACTGCCTGAATACGGCCAAAGAATTACACTTCCCACAAATACTAAATTGTATATACAAAAGGTACTTCCATTTAAATCATAAGAACAAAAATATGAACTTATTTACCTCTACCGGCGCATCCAAGTTGGTTAAATGAACAACATTTCCCTCCTTATCTACTTCGTTTACCATAAAATCCGAATACCTATACGATTTACCAAGAAAACGAACGAACTTTAAAATATCGACAAATAATTTCTCTCTAAAAACAATGAATTATATGCAAATGTACGAATCCAGTTGAGGAAAATAACAAAAAAGATGCTGAATTCATATTCTGTGGTTATTAATTTTCAAGTTCCTAACTTTACAGCAAAATCTTACCTTTATTAAATCTTCCAACATTTTCTAGGCATCCAAACACACCGTAACGAAAATAAATAACTTGAAAATCCCAAGCAGAACAGAATGCTCAAATTTCACAGTAGAAATTTAAAATCCAGACCTTTGCTTTAAGACGCCGCGAAATCCGGGGAGCTGAGAGATGTAGCAGAAGATGCCAACGTCGGATTCCTCCGTGGTTTTTCTCGCCATTAGGGCTTTTAAGGCGGTGGTCGGCGGTGGTGGTGGTGGAGGAGTTGCAGAGCAGTAGGGTTTTAGCATAGAGAAGCACGATGGTGCGGGCTTAAGCCACATTTTGATTTCGGGGACACCGCTTTTTCCCGCGAAACGCACCGTATTGTCTCTACTCTAACCGTTTCAGTATCTTTAGTTTTTCTTATTACAAATTTACCCCTCAAATCTTAGTTATTGTTACACTTTGGTCCTCAGACCTTCTTTTTCTAGCAAACGCAGCGAATTGGACAAAAGTAATTAAGAAAAAAATTGAAATACCCTAAAAGTTTAGGGGGTGAATATGAAATTGAAGCTTTTTGGAGTTTACGATTGTGACCCTGAGCCAGTGAGAGTCAGCCGATAGTTGGAGAGAGAAAAGTACTACTGTGAGAGTGCGTTCTCTCTCTCTCCTCCAATAGAAACAGATCGATCGTGAAGCCGGCTAGAGAGAAAAACACCTAGAGAGAGAGAGAGAGAGAGAGAGAGGAGCTTCGCTCGTTGGACTGGCGAAGATGGTGAGCAAAACGGAAGAAACCCAATTGAACAGGCTCGAGAACCAGGTCGACAATGGAGGAGGAGGGGCCTGGGAGTACCTCTGTTTAGTCAGAAAGCTCAAAGTCCGCCGCTCCGAGAAGGTCTTGAAGTACGGCCTGTCGATCTTGAACGACCTCAAGAAAAGATCCGGTCTTGGCTCGGAAGGTGAGTTTTCGAGCTTCGGTTTATTGGTGATTCCATCTGGGTTTTGTGTTTGTTCAATTGGGTTGTGGTTAATTTGTGTTTTTGTGATCGTGATTGCTTGATTTGAATTGGGCATGGATTGGAATTGGTTATGGACTCTGTGCAATTTGGTGTGTTTTAATTTGCGTAAATTCAATTGGGTTTGTACTTTGTAATTACTTTGCAGTTAATTGTGTGGTAGAAGCTTAATTTGAATTTGTGTCGTTAAGAAATGGATTTGATTGTTCGAGTTTGATATATTCTGTTGGTTTAACTTCGCCGTGCGTATCATGCAACATGCTTCCTTCGATTTAGAGTTCTTATTTTATTGGGGTAGATTTTGAGTTCGACTAACAAGTAGTTTGTATTTTTTGATGTAGAATGGACTTTATATGAGCAAGTTGCAATTGCAGCTATGGACTGCCAGTCTCTTGATGTTGCAAAGGTGTGTTTTTTTGGCTTACACTTTTGAAATTGCTTAGCTATTATTTTTGAACGTGCAACTTTAGGCTTCCCCACTTAGGAGGAGGGGAGAGAGAGAGAGAGAGAGAGAGAGAGAGAGGTTGTTGAATGCAGATATTGAGTTTGGTATAGCCTACCCTGGAATTGAGAATCGTAAGATTTGTGTAAGGCGGATGTGCTATATTGTGTTAATGGTGGAAGGGTTAATAATGCTATCTCATGCCTCCCTTGAACTTTTGCAGGACTGCATTAGGCTTTTACGTAAGGCATTTCCTGAGAGTAAAAGAGTTGGTAAGTTGAAATAACTAATTTGAACATTGTATGGAAGTCTGATTTTTAGATCTGATACAGGCAGGCTAGAGGCTTAGCTATTTGTTTTGCATAAAACACAGGCAGGCTAGAGGCTATGTTGCTAGAGGCAAAGGGATCTTGGGCAGAGGCAGAGAAGGCTTACTCAAGCTTTCTGGAGGAAAATCCACTCGATCAAGTAATTCATATAAAAACTCTTAACAGAAGGATCAATCCGTATTTTTTAAGATTGATCCCATCGCTTTATCTTTGTTATATGAGAAAAATTCTATGTTCTTTTCTGAGAAAAGATAAAGGAAAATGCTTATGTAAATTTCAATTATTTTTCATATGCAGGTGATACATAAGAGAAGAGTAGCTATGGCAAAGGCACAAGGATACATTTCAGGGGCCATTGAGGGGCTTAATAAATATCTGGAAATGTAAGGCATATATTAAATTCCTTGAAAGAAAAAGATTTTATGTCAGCAAAAAGATGTTGCTAAGTTGTATTTTCCCGTTTTGACAGATTTATGGCTGACCATGATGCGTGGAGAGAGCTGGCTGAAATCTACGTTTCCTTGCAAATGTATGTTTCCAACAGACTTGTTGAAACTTTGTGTCTCCAAATTGCCTATGCTTTCTTGCTGATTGATAAATTATGTTTCTATGTAAACTAGGTACAAGCAAGCTGCGTTCTGCTATGAGGAGCTGATATTATCACAACCTACTGTTCCTCTTCACCACTTGGCTTATGCTGATGTAAGTGGCTTTGGTTATTTTCGTTACTGCAAATAAATCCTGTTTGCTTTATAGACATGCTTATGTGCTGGTTTTGATGGCCAAAGAATTTTTTGCAATTAAAGAAAAGCTCCGTGTACCCTCTTGTTGAACGGTGTAAAAACTAAAAAGTAACCTGAAATCTTCTTCCCCCCCCCCCCCCAAAAAAAAAAACTACTGTAATACTGTACCAGCCTTCCTGATTAACAGTCAATTTCAGCATAAGTGAATGTTTTGCATCAGTACTGGCATCTCTTACGTAAATTTAGTCATTCAAATGCAAAAGTTACGTACTTGATTTAAGATGGTGCATAATGTCCAGCTAACTCCAAATATGAACACCTAGCATCTAACTTGCAATTTATATCCTTGATATTTTGTTGCCCTACTATGTGGAAAGGAGTCAAACGACAAAATGCGAGTACTCTGGGAATAAAGAAATGAAGCTGTGCATATTCAACATATAATTATGATTACATGTTTAACAGCACTAAACACCCGCATTAAGAGTGAGTAAATGTCTGATAGTTTGCTTTCTGTGGCAACAGGTGCTATACACGCTTGGTGGACTAGAAAACCTTCAGACAGCAAAAAAATACTACGCATCCGTTATAGACTTGACTGGGGGCAAGAATACCAGAGCACTTTTTGGTATTAACTTGGTGAGTTCTCTCTCCCTCTTGAGGTGCATTGATTCAGAGATACTTATACATATTGGAGCGATAGTTTAGACCATTGCTGATCCTGCTGTGGCCGAGAGTCATCTATTTAATTTGATTGTTCAAGTTTTAGACACCGTATATTTAATTTGATTGTTTTCATCCCTCTTTTCTTGCTCTTGTGATCAACTTGAATTACTGAAAGAACGTCTTAACTCCTGCCTTCCAGTGCACTTCCGCCATCGGACAGCTTGCGAAAGGAAGGAACAAGGAAGACAAAGAGAGCTTAGAGCTACAATCACTGGCAGCAACGGCCTTGGAGAAAGACTACAAGCAGAGAGCACCCGAAAAACTTTCCCTGCTTACGACGGCCTTGAAAAGCTTGAAAGTTTCATCATAACTCCTTGGTCTTCGAAGAATCTTCGTATAGCAAAACAGGTGAGTGGCGACTTGGTGCCGAATGGCTGTGGATTACAAGAATCTCATATCTTAGTTACGTTAAATGATTTTTTTTTTATTTTCGTGTTTCGACTTCCCTGTGTCTTTTTTTCAAGTCCTTAATAAGAGGACGAGATGTATTCTTTATGATGGCCACAGTGGCTAACTAGGAATGTATGAGTAACACCCTTTCTTCTTTTCGGATTTAATATCATTTTCCCTTTGCTTTTTACCTTAATTCAAGGATTAGGAGTACGCATTGATGTTCTTGATATCATACAATTTTTCTGCCCAGTTTCTAGTTCAGATCCTCGGTGATGTTCTAACTAATCTAATCAATGAAAAAAGCGATTCGAACTAGGGTGCACGGGCCAAGAGGGCGAATACTCTGCCATGTCAAACTGGCATAACCGCAATCGCTTATAATTCATGTTCACAATCACTTATAACTCGGGCAATTCTCATAAGCGCTTCTGCTAAAAATGCCGTATTAAAATTTTGATTAAAAGTTTAAGTGCTTTCCAAAAAAAAGTATCTGACTCGTGTTTCTCCTAAAAATGCTTCAGAAAACGGATTTTTTTTTTAATCCTTTTGACCCTTCCACAAGCAATCTTAACCAGGCCACAAACTAGAGACGTAATTAGCATACCAAGCTTTGGAAACTCACTTGCACCGGATCAAATCTGTGGGATGGAGCTGTAAAAAGATGTCGAAGAGTAGCTCCGGTGGGATGCATGACATGGATGAAGCTTGAGGTTTGGTGTGGTGTGGTGTGGTTTTCTAGGGTTTGATCAGAGGTCTTGAGCGTTGTAGACACAAGCGTACGTGAGAAATTAGGTCATGAGAGTTATAATGCCCTTAAGTTTATGTTTACCATAAAAATTAGGGCAAAAATTAGGTATTTGAGATAGAATAAAATTAAGGGAGTTTTAACAAAACACTTCTGGTACTGTTCACTTTTGACGAAAAACCACATTTTTATCTTCACTTGATACCATTCACTACACATTTTTTTGTCATTTTTCGTTAAAACTAAATTTTTTTTTTTTTTTTTTGGAATTTTCGTTAGTTTTCCTTAAAATTAAACAACAAGACTCGTGCAATCAAAAACGAAGAAAAATTGAAGAGAAAGAACTATATTTCAATCCTTATTCCTTATCACCATCCACTTTTATCGTTCCAAAATTTCTCTATGTACTATTGCTTACTCTGTTTAATAGTATTATGTCGACCTTTCTTCCAAAATTTAATGAATGCAATTGAAAACTCGATCGATCAGTGTCCCTCAACCGGAAGTCTCTTGTTTCCTTTTCGGTACTGGTCAAACTAGCTTGGCACTAATGCGTGAAAGTATGTACCTCTGATCATGCAGCTTGCAGTCATACAAACAAGTACATCGGTTTGGAACGTCGAGAGTGGCTTCTTTCACACTTTGGCTGAACTCAGCTACATTAAAAGTTCCTAGGTGTCGAGCGCGGATGTCCATGTAGTTCACTTTGGAGCATCCATACAGGTTCAGCAACTTAAAATCTGCGTAGTCTGAAACAATGGTTATCGATTCAAGGTCTCCTGCACTAGCAGAAATAGTCCTGCAATTGCAATCGATGACTTCCAAAGATTTAAGAGTGGAACTGTATATCGAAATATTCCAGAACATGTCGGTACCAACTTCAGAACATGAAACGATCGACAAATTCTCAATGAAAGGGGAAAGGTCTCCGTCTGAAGATAATATGAAGCCTCTGAAAGACGAATATCCGTTGAAGCAGACAGTTTTAAGGGTTACAGTTTTTAAAGATGGAAGCGATACAGGATTGCCATGGCGGTCAATATTTACCGTCACATGCTCTAGTTTTAGGGTGGTTAAAGATTTTGAAGTAAAAAGGGTTTGAGGTAAGGTGTAACCTGCTTTCCCTCCTCCTCCAAGGAGACTAATATCTAACTCTTTGACGCTTCTCTCGAGACCGAACGTCAACCACTTGTCTACGACAGTAGCTTCGTCCTCAAGTAATGAATACCTAACCATTCGAATCCTGAATTTTTCCACGAGCTGCTGCTGCTGCTGCTGCTTGTCTTTCTCGCGAAAACCCACAAACCAACTGAACATGTTGATGAACTTTGCATGTTGACGAACTACGTGGTTGTCATCGTCATTGTTATCATGAAGCGGCTCACCCTCCTCGTCGAAATCTAAATGTATTGCAGGGAGGGCACACCATGCACTTTGCCATTGCTTGGAAAGAAAGCTCATCAGGACGGAAGATTTAGTGGGAAGGAGACGGAGGATTTCGCGGATGATATCATATTTTAATTGGCGTTCCTCATTTGTTTCCTTACTGTCCGTGGGATTTTGGAGTTTTCTTTTTTTATTTGACGCCATGATTGCTTCTCTGCGATCGATTTTCTTTATGTAGAAGAAGCCATAAGCTGCTGGTCGTGGAAGGATGATAATATAATCAAACCACACCTTGGAGGTAATTAAATGGAATACAATCAAATCAAATTGAAAAGGAAACGTAATCCAACTAGGAAGAGGAAACTCCCTCTTCAAATCTTGAATTCTTATACATGTATACTGTTTGATGTCAACTACATGACGCCCATCTTCTCCTCCTTTATCTGGGCTTGAGATAGGCAGCATAAGATAAACTTACACAGACGGAGTTAATTTAGTGTCATCCATTCGTCAATTAAAAAATCGGAAGGCATTTAATTAACAGGACCCCCTCTCCAAAATTACTGAAATCAGTTATCTTTGATAATTAAGGGCATTTCCAATGGAAAACTATAAATTTGAGATGAAAAATCATATTTACATCCCGTTTTATATTTTCGGCAATTGTAAATGAATGTTCCACTCCAATAAGAATGACGCAAATTTGAGATTCCATTTAATTTTCTCTTTGATTAGTGGGATCCATCACCAAAACATGTAAAAAAGAATGTAATTATAGGTTTTTATTTACATCTAATACAAATAATTTACATTTCGCCATTAGAGAATTTTCCGGGGAAAAAAAAAGAAGAGGTCAATTGCAATTGGTGAGCCTAAAATTTGAGGAGAAACACGAAATTACATATAAGAGAAGGAAACGTATTACGAAACTTGAGATCGTTTTAAGAGTAACAACTATCATTGTAGTAACATAAAGAATGCAAAAAAGCCACATGGTTGTTGTATCACAACAATGCAGCAAAGAATGCGTTAAACTGGAGTGCTTGACTGAATCTTCTGTAAGTCACCGCTTTCGTGTTGATTCGAGAGTTGGGAATGGCAAATCAATGAGAGATCCTGATCCCTCGCTGTCCGTAAACTACCATTCATTGCATCCTTCTTCCGAATTCATATTTCTTTTCTTTTGACTTGAGTTTCTTCGACTTTTATTGTGGCGGAAGTGACTGCTTTCGTGGTGATTCCAGAGTTGGGAATGGTGGAATGGATCTCAGAACTAACTTCCTGCCACCCCTCCAAGCTGATCCAAACTCACCGCTGCTGTGAGGAGGCGATACCCTCTTTGAGTTTGGAGAGGTTGACTTCAAACCGCTAGGTTGTGAGCAACTGCTAGCCAACGTCTCAAGAGTTACGTCTTCTGGAATTGCCTGAAGATGCTTTTCATGCTGAGAAGATGACAGAACAGAATGCAGAGAAAATATTTTCGGTCTCCCCTTAGAAGAAGATGTCAGTTGGCCTGGAGGAGGTCTGCAAAACAAATTAACTTTCAAACATTTTACAACACATCTCAAAGAAGTTACATACAGTTCAACGAATCAGTGGATCAAAAACCTGCAAATCCCCGGAGGTGCCATTAGGAGATCTTGATCCCTCACTGTTGGTAAACTGACATTCACTGCATCCTTTCTCGGATCTACTGATTCATCTCCTCCAACTTCAGCTTGTTCAGCTTCTATTGAATAAAGAAGAAGAATAAATTATAAGTACCCAAATTGTGGATCCTGTAAGAAACATAAAATGATTTGTTAAATTCCGTATGACTATTTGCTCACCATCTTTCCGACCAAAAGTGTTTTTACACCCTACACATCTGCAGAGGATGCCGCATCCAGCACCGCCCTTGGTAAGAAAATCAAAGGAACCATATGAGTTGGTAGATATATACCAGAAACTTTAATAGATTTACAAGAGCGGTACATTCATACAAAAGAGGCCAAATTCCGGTACCTGAAAGCATTCACAGTACTTTTTCAAGCAACTTGATTTTCTACAATTGCATCCCCTTTTATGCCTAGCTGAAGACGGAGTCGAGTTAGTTTCCTCCTGCATAGGGAAAGTTATGAGTCTAAATGGTTATGATTCATAGGACAATGCAAATGCAATGGATTATCTCAGTTATGAATTCTAACCGCATACTGTGGAATAGCAACGGCTTTTGCAATCACTTTGGGAGCAAATGCAAGTGGGTTGCGGGATTCAATCAGTTTGCGATTCTCTAAAACAATGTTCTCATAAATAGGCTTGTTGAAGCATTCTTGACATGAACAAGGCTCAATACAGTAGAGACCAGCAGCAAAACAGTCGCAATAACTGCGTCAGAGAACACAGGATGTCAAACTAAGAAAAAAGTGGAAACACATGAACCCAGGCAAAAAAGCAAAAGTTTAAAATTGTAATCGATTATAAATTTTAAACTTCTAATTAGTAGATATAATGCACACATGAACTCATAGTTTACGAGATAAAGTATGCAAAAAACTCACAGTTTCAAGCATTTTGATCTCTTACAATTGCAGCGTTTGCAAGCCAAGCTTTCTCCAGCAGGCTGCAACTTAAGCCTGCAAGGTATTAAATGTTAAAACAATCGAATTCAAGGGAGTGGGTCTAAATAATACAAACAGTCATCAGAATTTACGGCGCGTGCCTTTTCTTCTCAGGACTACTATGGTCAGGTTCTTGACCACCTGGTGCACATATTTGGGGTGAAGTTACCGCAACCTGAGCTTTATCTTTACATGATTCATCACGAGAAACCTCACTGGGAGTCAAAGAAGTACTAGATATCTTGGAGTTTGGCAAATTAATCGCTTGACTCTCAGAAGCGTGAACCTCGTGCTTGACAACCGTACTTAAATTACTTTCAATAGTAGTTGCAAGAGCATTCAAGTGCAAACCAATACCAGGTAACCGAGAAGATGAATAATCACAACCTTTTATAGTTTGAACCAACTGCTTTTCGACTGAGGCGACTTCACAACTGGACTGTACTGAGGCTGAAGAATCGC